GCCAAACACAGAGACCTGGGGTCCACGCTCATTCTGTGCTCAACTTCTGGAAGTTTATCCACAGGACTTTTCCCTATGGCAGCGCAGCGGGGACATCCTGGCGCTGAGTTTGGTTACTGGTTCTGTAAGTAGAATCAACGCGGTGTGATACTATACCACAGCCTGTGGGGGTTTATTATTTGTTTTTTATTGAGTATACTCCCAGCAGAACAGCAGAAAAAAGTAGTTCTTACAAGTGCCTGTTTCTGATGTGTGTGCCATCAATCAAAATATCCTGAAACAATTTACCGCTTGGAGACGAGCTTTGAATATCGACTTTGGGCATTGTTGATGATTACTTGCGTTTGAGTCCTCAGAGAAGGAAAATTCTGTGCTTTCAGAAGAATCTGTAATCAAGAAGAGTAAACTCATAAAGGCACTTACGACTGCAGTGGCAGTGATCGAAACTTTTAGGAGCAGGCACAGCAATTTAATTAAATACCTGATATTTGGAATAGATCAGATTGTGAAAGCTTAGTGTGTGAAAGCTTCGATTGTGAAAGAGGACGCGTGTGTCTGCTGGTGCTGTCTGAGCCCCTGCTGACACCATCCTGGCCAGAGTATTTTGTTCACAGTATTCAGTGAGTCAATAATGAAACACCTGTAATCAAAATCAAAACACATCACTGTTTTGAAATTTTGATGGATCTGATAGAGTGGAAGGAATATCTTTTTACCATGTTTTTTATTTAAAAATAAGTTTGGGAAGGGGCAGTTTGGAGTTTTCTGTTTTCTTTTTGATGTTACTCCCTGGCAGTTGGCCTCAGTAAGAATCCACTGTACAGTCGTTACACTCTGGGCAAAAATCTTTCAGCTTACATAGCCCTTCTGTTGTTAAAGAAGTGTTAGTTAGGTAATGTTTCAGAACATCTTAATAAATTACTCTTGGAGCATAGCATGAGTCTGCTCAGTTCGAGCCTATTCTAACTGTATGTCAGCACCTCAGTCCTTCCTCCCTGTCCTGTTACCACAGTTTCCATATTTTTCCAGAATCAAGCAAATCCCGTGGTCGTAGAGCTACTCGGTCCTGCTGGGGCTGCTCAGATTCACAACTGTTCTGTGGTATTTGGTGCTTTACACTCCATAATGCTCAAATAATGTGGTTGCTGCTCGTCAGTTTTCTCCTGATGCGTGTTTGGAGATGCTTCAAATATTTCCAGTCTGGTCAGCTCTTACTGTAGCTGCAGGTGGCTGGATAGGAATGTCAGTGACGACTGTCAGGCTCTCACTTTTCCCACAGTCGGTGGGGCTTTTGGTGACTTTTTCACAATTGTTTTTGAGGCATTAAATTATCAAAAAAAAAAAAAGTTTTACTCTCTTGCAATCCACTCCATGAAGTGAGCACCTTAACGTGTTTGCAAACAAAAAGGCTTTTTCTCTTTCTGGCAGTAGATAGATGCCCACGTTGCATTAAAAGCTACTAACAGGAGCTCCTCAAACTGTAGATGTGTTTGCCGATGTGTTTTGCTACGCCCATTCTTGCATTGTTTCAGCAAGATCATTGCAAAACCTAGCTTACACAAAGGCTTTGGCTCTCCATAGATGACAACAGCCTGACATTAGCTAGAGAAGATTCAAGAAATTCCACCAAACTGGAGAAAATTAACATGCCGTGGAGTTTGGCATTGTAACGTGAGTTATGGATAGGCAGACCATTCTTTATTCTTACAAAACAGCTGCTCAGAGCTCACAAAATTGATACTTTATTCATTGAATTTACTGTTGCTGGAGACCAGCATGTTTAATATATCAGTTAGTGAGTACAGAATTGATGACAAATCAGTAAATTTCCCATTTTCTCGTCAGTGACCCTCCTATGCAAGAAGTTTGTCACCTCTAAAATTCATTCTGAATGGTTCAGCATATTTCTGCTCATCATAGTGATGACAGGAAGGCAAAGTATTATCACAATGCCCATTCAAAGAAGTGTGATCCTTGTTTTTTCCCCTCAGCTTAACCTGTTGGGTTTGGCAAGACTCGTGTAGATGTGGAATCACAGACCTCTTTGTAGGCTGAGAATGCGTAAAACTCCTCAACTTCTCACCGCTTGTTTATTGGCAACTTTCAGGCCAAAAACTGTTAAAGGCAGAAGTGCTGGGGAAGCTGGTGCTAGTAAGTTATGTGAATGTCACGTTACTGTTTTCTTGTAACCTCTTCCTCTAAAATATTGCAAAACATTTAATTTCTGATTGTAGGCTGCGTTAGGAAACACAGCCTACAGTTAGCCTATAGTTACTTGACTATTGCAGAGCTACTCATTGTAATATAGAGAATGCTACAAGGATTAACTAAAGCGTGGTAAAGCAGCAGCTAGAATGACAGAGGTATCGATTCTGTCCAGCGCAGACAGCTTAATAACTATCTGGAAGGCGTAAAGCTAAGAAAACAGGAAAAAAATAACGTATTCCAAAGAATAACTAAAAGCAGAAATAGTAGCTTCTGCTTTGTTCCTTTTAAAAAAATATACATTTTAAAATTAAACACCCTGGTAAATATAATTTGCCTACTGTTCTTTTTTTTTTTACTTATTCCAGGTAATTTGGTAGGACAACTAGGCTCTGTAGTGAAATGTAACTAACTTTGGTTTTACCAGGTAGAGCATGTAAGAAATAGACTGTTCTCCAGCTCACTTTTCTGGTCCTGTGTTTATATAAACAGATGACTGATAGCATCTCAGACCTCTTCATACCTGTAAGCCCTGCGAGAGGGGTTTAGCGCACCTTCACAGCGGCAAGAAGGAGCTTTAAGGAATTCCAGCTTAGTACGTGCTCTGTGATACTGTTTGTCCAGGTGCTACCTGCTTGCTTGCTCTTATCTTCTCGTGCATTTCGCCTGCCTCCTACCTTTCGGTGTCCTCCCTTTTCGTTATCTCCATCTCCCCACCCAAATCCGTAGCTACTCCCTATGCGTTTTGCTCCTACTTATGTTGGAAAACTGTCTTTCATTTAGTCTGCCATAAATCTTGTTTTAGCTTTTCTTCCCTTAAGTTACTCTTTGAAGTCTGTCCTTTCCCAGTGACCTCTGGGTTAAACATCTAACAAATTCCGCAGCAAAAAAAATACCATATTAAAAAAAAATCAAACAAAAAATGTGATAAATATTATGTATTAGCATTCAGCAATGGCACTTCAGATCTTGTGCTGTACAATTCAGAGCAGGTACAGTTTTGAAATGGTGACTCGAGAGGTTTTTGTTCTGTAGCATTTTGAAATGTGGATGAGTTCTTGGATATCCCAGTCCCAGTAGCTGTGTACTTCTGCTCCTCGGAAAGGACGAATTCTGCTCCACACAAATGGAGTCCAAATAAACTGCTTTGAAACATCCACCTGGGATTTCGTGAGAGGTCGCCACACTAAAATGTATTCTTATTAAATCATAAGTAGCTTGAATATGAAAACTGCAACTGGCCTTGACGTGCTGTGGCCAAATTTGTCTGAGACTCTTTAAGGTCAGCGGTTTGTTCTCTGTCACGAGGGAGTGAGCAAGCACAGGGAGTCGTTGGGGTGATGAGCAATCAGAGGAAGAAGATTGACAGGAATAAAAGCAGCCATAGCTTGCAGGGTTGTGCTTATTTATTTCAGGAGCAGTAAAAAGAATGTGCATCGTAGGGAGAGAATAATGTTAAAAGCTTTTAAATGAGTAATAGGAATAGAGTTAATAAATCTGGAATGTTCTCTAATTGCCTGCTTATATTTCAAAATACTTGCTATTATATATTGACTTTTTACTAGAGTGTGAAGCAGAAGATAATGGAAGTTGTAGCCCTCTGCCACGAACGGCTGTAACTTGGTTGGTTTAGAACAGGTAATCAAACTTGAGAATTGCTATGGCTCTGTTATTAAATGTACGGCTTTAGGATATGAAGGCATAACAACAGGTTGAGTAAAAATATTTAAGCCTAAAGCACAGACTGACCTTGTGCAGTGCCATTCAAGTACTTAGATTCTGTGCCCAGAGCACAAAGGGGTTTGGCATGTTATTCTGCTGGCATGAAAAAGTCAGCTGTGTGCTAACATCTGGTGATCAGAACGATGCACAACAATTTCCTTTCGCTTTCTTAATTTCTTTCAACATCTGCCTGTAACACAAAGTGTTACAGTGCTCAAGTGATGCCAAGACCTGCCAGCTGTAGTGAGCTTTCCAGCATTTCACTAGTTCTCCGGTCCTGAGTGTATTCTGATCTGTGCCTGAATCCTTTGATTTGTGATCTAGTGCCACCTTACAGTGCTCCTCTGCGAGAAGGCGCGTCCTGCCTCAGGCAGCGCAGGTCTGCAGTTAGTCCAGGCTCTTAGAGAAGTAACTGATGTTGCTGTATATTCCCAAATGTCTACATACAAAATGTATACGCCTACTGTATTCCTTCGTGTTTTATAACATCTGTAGTTCCAGCCCTAACCCTTTTCCTGACTGCCTCTCCTTTACTTCCACTTTTATGTCTAGGCTGAAATCTTTTCTGATATATTCTCTTCAAGCGTGCCTCAAATTCAGGTTTTGTCAAACATACACTTTAATATATCATTATCTGTGCTCCTTATACACTTCTCCTGCAGAGTCATGCCCCGTTACCTGCCCCAAGTGGTCCTCACATCGTGCTGTGTGTAGTAATATTGCCAGAACTTTACTGAGCCAAACAGCACAGCAAAATGCTTGCCACAGGGACCACATCTTGTATGGGTACAGGAGAAAACTCTGAACAGGTGGTAGAGTAGATAAAGGTAAGTTCACCTGATTTTGTCTATCGTAAGAGAAAACGAAGCAAAAGCCATCACCGAATCAATGTAATGGGTAAAAAGAGGACAGATGCAAGGCAGATACTTAAGAAGATGATTTAAGAAAATGAAAACTGAGGGTGTTTTTTAAAAACCTCTGCAGCAGTGAGATAGGAATCAGGAAAGGAAAGCAAGAAATGGAATTTTACATCCGTCTTAGAAAATGTACTATATTTTCCAGGCCTTTATTACCTGATTGGAACGCTAGCAGCCCACCCCAAACAGTCAAGAATACTGTTCCATGGAATCCGTCTTGCAGATGGCACCAGGTCACTTTTACACCGTGATCCTCTAATCGTTTCTTGTACAGCAGCCCGTCGTCTCTAAGCACGTCGTATTCACAGGTCAGAATGAAAGCCTCAGGGAGTCGAGCAATAACACTGTCTTCAGCCAGCAGTGGGGAAAAAACAGGGTCAAACACAGGCTGGAACTGCGTGGCGACGTCTTTTAAGAGTGGAAGTGGTGTACTTGGTGTGTAGCCTCTTGTTTTAAACTCGTGAGGGATGCAGTCAGCACTCACCCATTTCTGATACTTCAGCTGCAAATCTTCTGGAACGTGAGACCATTTGGACATTAATTTCATGGTTTCCAAGTCTATATTAAGATACTTCAAACCAAGAACAATGGTTCGTTCTTTTAACAAAATGGGGATATCCTTGTTCTGCTGATAAGAAGGCAAATTAAAGTCCACGCTCTGGAGAAAAGGATATATTAGTATTTGTGCTCTCGGCTTCGGGAGGTCTCCTCTGTTGGCCAGCGCCTGAGCGACAGCGGCCGCGAGCGTGCCTCCACTGCTGTCTCCACAGATGATGATGCGAGAAGGGTCTACTCCGTAGTCCTGTGCGGTCCTCATGAAGTGTGTGGCGGCCGTCAGGCAATCCTCAAACTGGGTCGGGTACGGATGCTTAGGAGCTAGGCGGTACCTAAATAGGAGTGAAAGTGGTTTAACACAGGCATAGCGAGGGAATGGTCCCGTTGTCTGTTCGTTCACGTCCTGCTTTCTGAAGATAGGAGGGTATTCTGAGATTGTAAGGACAGCAGTAGAATTGATCGTAGTTATTGCTTTGGGTGTAATATTTGCTATTGCTGATGTTTGGGGGAGTAAGTGCACTATTTGATCTTTGCAAAATACTTCTTTACCTGTCTTTTGGGTGACTGAAGGCACGTGCCGAATTAGATGGCAAGGCGGGTATGTGACTCAGTTATCAGCGATTTTAGTCTGAAATTCAAGTGAACTTTTTCCTAACGCGTTGTTAGACAATATGGGCATAGAAAACTGAAAGGGAAAGTATGAAAGACTTTCAGTGGTTTCATATAAGCTGAATTCTTTATAAACAGAATCAGTAAGAGTTCTTCAAGTATTTTAGGATGTAAATAATAATTAGTGCAATTTTAATAAATTTCTAACACATCAACTCTTTTCCTGAACTTTTAGAAATAGATTCTTTTACAAATGCATTACGGCTCATCAGAAAAATATTTGGAATGTCCATGGATTATTCATGGATTTATCTGCCCTAGTTTTTCAGAACTGCTACTAAACTGAGTGTTTACTAGTCTGGGCAACTGAAACAGTTACACTTCAAACCCAGTGTTGGCTTTCAACTTCAGGTGTTTGCACACTGCTTTAGGAAACACAGGCATCCGCACCCTCTTGGTGGTGGCTACAAATTACAAAGTTATTGTCGTGGATTTCATTTGGAAACACACAAGTGGAAATTAGTTGACTAATTCTTCCTGAGAGTAATTAGAGCTGGTGAAACACGTGCGATCGTTAATTTTAAGCACCGAACACGTTTCGCAGGGAGCTTGGCTTGCAGTGACTACGCGTTAAAGACTTCCAAAGCTACGAGGAGGCGGGGCGAGCTGTCGCGCTGCGCGCCGGGATTGACTCCACTTACCCAACAGACACAACCACTGAGTTGCTGTTCCTAGCAAAATAGCGGCACGTTCTTTCGTAGGCCTCTGTAAAACAAAATATTGCAATGGAACTGTAACTTGTTTTCAAAAAATAATTTGAATGAAAATATTCTTAAGTGCATATCTCAATTCTGAGATTCATGCAACCCTGTAATTCTCTTATTGTGGTGTGGCCTGATCTGGACACGGCTCCCAATTTCAATATGTCTGTGGGAATCTTCTTGCCAATAAGAAACCTGGAATTTACACTAATGCATTGTTTCAGTCTCCTTTTCTAAAAGGTAGTTAATGGAAAGCACCACTGCTGCCACATCTAAAGTGGTGACGAAGACGAGAAGTTATTTTTTAAAAAAAAAAGCAAAACACAAAAGCCCTGCTGAATCTAGCACAGGAATTTTTCTTTTGTGTGAGCCATCATCTAATCTCTTATGCCTTTCCACTTCAAAGGCTAAAATGTACTTTTTCCTTGGTTTGCCATTATAAAGACAGCAGTATAAACACATACACACAAACTTGCACACGCACGTGACTGCAAATTTTGTTCTTTAAGAAAGAAAATTCTACTGAGATTTTTAACCTTTTTTGTAAGCATGAAGGAGAAGAAGGAAGAAAATGGCTATTATAAATGATCAGAGAATAAAAGTTCTAGGTAACAACCTGTATAATTTAACATGATGCCTACTGAATATGTGAAATTATTCTGCTGTCCTGAAATTAATTTTCTTATTTATAGTACTTAACCTGCTCCCTCCTCTTGTCATTATAGAAGTACCGTACCAGATCAGAAACTCATAGTATTTGTAGTTACAGCTCACATTATTTGTACGACTTACTAATGCTTCCAAACCGTCCAACTCCTCCGTGCAAGTAAAGGATTCCTCTTCTTTGGCCAGTGGTTGATGTTTTTGGCTGGTAAATTCTTACTTTAACCTTTTCAAACCTCGAGTCCTTGATGAGAAGATGTTTGTCTTTTAATGGTGGAATTCCATCCATTATAGCCCTGAGGACGTCGACCTCTGCGGCGATACCTACTTTATCCAAAAATATTGCCTGTTAATAAAGGGAAAGAAACTACCAGTTAGTGCAGATTTCCATCCTAGCTGGAGACTGGTCCTGAAGCATTTCAAATTCCACCGTCAGTTCAAACTTTGTCTCCTGATGGTTCTTGCAAGGAAGTGGCCGGGTCCAAGGAAGATCTGGATGCACCTTCATTGTAACGCAACGCCTGCCCACGCTTGAAGCTCAGAGAGTGTTAGATGGGATGGGAATGGATGGACTTACCTTCTGTAGCTGCCCTGTGTCTGCGCTTCTCCCAAAGCGAGGCCTGGGAGCCCGCGGGAACGCCTGCCGAGAGCGGCTCTCACAGAAACACTCGGCTCCTTAATGCCACCTGGCAAATCGGTTACCACTGCTGGCTTTGGTGGTAATGTCTAGATTATATTAGAAATGTTAGGTGAGAGGATGGTGGGTTTTTTGAATTATTTCATTCTTCAGCCAGGTGGAATCCTGGCTCAGTTTTTATCCCTGGGAGAAAAATTGGACTATTAATAGTAGATAAAAGAAGGTGCCAGGTAGTAGCCATGTGCCTGAACGGAATAAGGAGAGAGTAGTTACAGCATTTTAAACTTCAGCTTTGGATGAAGAAACGTGGCTTTACACTTGCCCGAACTCACGTGACTTTTTAACTTGTGGAAAAACAAATTCTGTAGGATCTACCAGAGCTGACCTCCTCAACAGAAATAGCCTTGAACCTTAGCTTGATCTGCTCACAGCTCAGCAATTCTTACTTAAAGCGTCAAGCTGAGGATTCTGATGTCGCTCTGAGCTAGTCTGCTTCATTGCATCTGGATGGCTTTAAGCTCTTTTGGTTGTGGTCTGCTCTGGTCTGTTCCTGCTCAAGATGAAAAATATGAGGCAGTATCACTGTATTTCCACTACATTAGGTTAAATTTTGTACTTCTCTTCTTCAGCAGTGGACTTCTCTAATGAGTAATTTAATGTGTTGTGTTGCCATTGTTCATGCCTATGTATTTCAAAGAGAATTGCACGTACAAAGTTAAATGCTGTGTGTACCTTAAAAACCTGCAGCAAGTCTTGTGGCTTTCACCTCACATTTCATGGACCTCATGTGGTGTGGTTGTGTTAAATTTGGTGTAAGTATCCTATTTTGGACCATTTGAGGAGCTGATCCTATATGCAAGAAGGATCATCTCGTGGCCAAGTTTTAGTCTCTCCCCGATTCCTTCTGCAGAACCCCTGTGTGATGTCCATGGGAAAATAATTTTATTTCTTTAATCTTCCAATTCACTCCAATATTTTTTTTCCTCACGCTAATACTTTCGTAACAGGAAAGGTTAAACCTGTAAATAGCTATATTGTTTGTGTATAAGAGAGAGAGCATCTTTGTCTTGGAAATGCTAAAAAAAAAGAAGGAGTGCATATCAATTGCTGTGCTTCCTGTTGGTAGTCTGACAGCTCATTTTTGTCAAATCCGTAATAGTTTAATGGATTAACTTTCTCAGAGATTGGCATTTACTTATGTTGCTCTTGCTTCACTGTTAGCTGTGAATATCGTCTATGGATTACCAGCAACAACGTGCAGTTGTGGCAGACATCTGTAATTAGTGTCATGCATAATCTCTGTAGTTCTTCCTGTTGTTATGCAAATGAAATTTTAATCTTGTGTTGTCTAAATTGCACAGTTCCTATGAATAGAGGTTCTACAAGAACCAGCAGAATTTGCATTTTTGCTTTGTTTTCTGATTCGCAGTCCATTTTTTCAGTATATCTACTCCCTCAGAATGAGATGTTGGGCTTTGACCTACGGGTGCTGGGAAAAATTGATCAATCACTTGCATGACAGCTGCCGGTCTGGGCTGTGTGTGTGCAGAGTACAGCTGGACTGCGGGTCACTCATCCCTTTACTGCCAGAAATCCCACTTTCAGGGTCTTCATGTTCATAAAGCTTGCTCTTCTGCACCTGATCAACGAAGTCAGTCAAGCGTGACCTACATCTTCACCTTTGTAAATCAGTGCGACTCCTTAGTAGCGTCATTTGCACAGCGGTAATTGGGCAGTTTGGTTACGTGCTCGTTAAGGGTCTTCTAACCCTGTAGCTCATGTGTCAGCTTGGAAATGACTAAAGACCTGCAGGAGGCATAAGAGCCAAAGTGTGGGACTGAAGAATTGTGACCTTGTTTGAAGGGTTGTCAGCTCAGCCTCTGCAGTCACACGAGGTGCGACTGTGTCAGGACTTCCCAGTGAAATACCGAAAAACCGATCCCACTGGCAACAACTGGCAGAGAATGTTCCATGCACGGGAGAAAAGCTGTGTAAGAGCTGAGCTGGCGTGGAAGTGGGAGTCTGGGTACGTGTTCCAGCGAAGGACCAGGGCTTGCAGCAACACGCCGGCCGTAACATCCCCGGGAAGGAGCTGGGCTGTCCCTGGTGTTAGGGTCTTTTTTACACAGGCACGAAGGCCTACCATGTACACCCAGAACTCCTCTGGATTACACTTTGTGCCAGCCCTTCTGCCTAAATCGTTCCTAAAATAAACTGAGTAGAAGAAGCTTACTATTAACACAGTAGGTGGCACAGTTTAATCAGCCCCTCTGGATCCCAGACAGGATCAGCCTAAGTCCCCTGGTGAGTGTTTGGCTTAACTGGTATGTCTGTTTTTCTTCTTGTAGACTAAATATTAGATGAAAAGATAAAGGATGGGTTAATAGATTTTTCAGTGAATAACTTCTATTAACGTTGAGTTGTAGCTGTTTTTACATAAGGATATCCTCATAGGTGAAGGCAGACATTTCTTCATAAAATCTGTTAGTCCGGGCACATCTGCTGTGTCTCCAGTGTGACTTCATGTGCATCTTTTGTCCCAGCTGAAGGCTGGATATGCTAGTGAGCTTAAGTTTGCCCTGCAGTTTTGGCATCCTGAGTTGTCATCTCTTGCAAGGCTGTGGCTACTTTGACGTAAGTAATTGGCCTAACAGCACTACCACGAGTTGCCGTGACTCAGGCTTCACTTGCATTTAAACTTTCGTATAACCATATGTTAATGTTCTTATCTTTCTGTTCCGTTCATGTGGGACAGTGCTTCTTCTTGGCCTCTCACTGACCAGCAGAAAGGATACAAAATGATAAGATTCAAGTTATAAACCTACATCAATCATCTGTAGATTTCTAAATTCCGCAGTTTTTACACAAAGATAAAACTTTGTCCGGTGGATAGAGAGTGTTTTGAAAATGTGAAAGTCCACATACTGTATAGGAGATGTAAGAAGAATTAATAGGACTTCTATCACTATCTTATTTTATAACACTGCTTTACTGTCGTAGCACCGTTCAGGCCTGGGTGGGGCACTTCTCCAGAGACTTGATTAGTGACGTTTTTAGGAGCTTTTGGGCTGACTTCAAACAAAACTTAATAAGCAAGGTAGCAGGGAAAGGGAGGAAGAAGCAATAACATTAGAACACGGAAGTGAAGTGAAATGTAACGCACAAGCCAAAGAATCTGAAGGGGTTTTTCACAATTTAAAAAATTAAAAGCAGCAAAGCTTGCTTCAGGTATCACAGAAGAAGTAGTTTTAAAATGTCAGAGGCAACAATTAATTCAGGAAAGGATAACTGTGGAAAGGGGAAGATAAGTAGAAGTCACATCGTAGTTTTGAAGAGAAATAAGGATGAGAAACACAGGAGGATCAGAAGTCGAGTGATCCAGTTGTAGAAGAGGACTGAGGTTACTGACATCGTCCAGTTGCTGGTTCTCTAAGTGAGCACTGGGTTGTACGGAGTGGAAGTTCCACATACACAGTGCAGTAAGCTTCTTAAGCCTTCCAGCACTGCAGTGAGGCAGCAGGATTCAAATGTTGAAACACAGGCCAGCAGAAAAAACTGGGAATAGTGCAGCCTGCAGAATTTTACTTTTCCTTTTTTTCCATATTCCAGTTTTTCCTTTGGTACCATATAGCCAGCAGTAGAGTCTATTACACCCAGCTGAGCTGAAGGTACCTGCAGTGGTGCTCACATCACCAAATTAACCAGTTGCATATTTGCGATATATTTAAACATTGATTCTACAAAAAAAAATAAAAATCATTAAGCCATTACCCTTCTATCAGAAATTAAATTTAAAACTCCAGCTTTAATCAAGTTTTACTTACCAGACCGAACGCAAAGTTCAGGAGGTGATGAAGAACGTAAAGCTTTTGGCGCTCACTAAATCCATGAGGGATTTCTGCCTTGGGGTGTTCATAATAGAATGCCATCGCCACAACGACAGTCAAAACAGCGAGAAAAATCCCGAGGAGGAGTTCCATCTCACTGGGCTGTAAGGAGACAAGTGGAGGAGCCAACTGTGGCTTCCTTCTCCCTCTGACTTTTGAAAGATTTCTGAAAGTAAAGGCACAGGATTAGCGATTCGCTTCATATCCCATCATCCAGCTTTTAAAATTGCCAACAGGAATATAGAAACATGTGGCAATCAAACCATACAATTAAACAGACAGTAACAATTAGTCATGGGAGAGACTTGCATAAGCAGGTTTTCGTATTTGCAGCTGACATGCTTTGAGTCTCTGCCCATCACCACAGAACCAGTGCTTGATGTATCATTTGTAGCATCACTTTTATGAGAAGACAAAAACTTATGTCTCTCCCTATTTCTTGAGTACAGTCAAGTCTGTGCTATTTCAGAGTTCCTCGGAGTTCCCGTGGAACAGGATTTCGTAGTAATCACTTTAAGAGCTGCTCAGTTTCTTGATTTATTGTGCCTCCACTCCTTATTTCTCCAGGCTTTTAGTGAAATCAAGGTTTCACCGGCACAACCACATTTAGTCACCTCTGATGACTGATTTTTTACCCTGCTATGCCCTTGCATCTTTAGAAGCAGCTGCAGCCTGGAGTGTCAGTGCTTTGCCTCTTGCCTCATCCCCCGTGGTAGAACCATAGAATCCTAGAACAATTCAGGTTGGAAAAGCCCCTTGGGATCATCGAGCCCAACCATTAACCCTACACTACAAGGTCACCCCTAAACCATCTCACCCAACACCACAGCTAAACGACACTTGAACGCATCCAGGGATGGCGACTCAATCACCTCTGGATGTGTTTAAGTGTCGCTTAGATGTGGTGTTGGGTGAGATGGTTTAGGGGTAGTAGCTTTTCTCCAACAGGTGAAAGACTGAACCAAAGGTTCTGTGTGTTTGGTTTATGTCGGGTGTTTTCACAGCCCCTTGGCTGGGCCCTAGAGCACTGCAGTCTCAGTCTTCTCATGAATATATTGCTTCCCAGTGTCAGTCTGGGTAGAAGTCTAATTCCAGCTGGTGGCAGCTGGACTTGGGCTTCGTGGTTTCATGCTAGCAGCAGCCCTCTCTTTCCAGTGTACTCTGTGAGTACTCGATGGTGAGCTTCAGGATCGGTGCCTTCCTCTGGAACTGACGTCTTCGTCAGTACACAGATCATTAGTGGTCAAATTTAACCTGGAATAAGACATCTCTAAAGCAAAGCTTTTTAAGCTCATGTGATGTTACCTTTGGGAGTAGGGTCTTTTTACCAGTCTGCTCAGACTGTGAAGGCAACTGATTTGCACTCTAAAAAATAGTGGCATGTGTAAAAGGAGTGTGTAAAACGTTTTCCTTAAATATACAGTAAAGGCATGACCTGAGCCTGAGATGTGTATTAAAATGTGACTCAGTCCAGAGAAGCCCAGAGCTTCACTGTGCATAATCCATGACTTGCACAGGAAAGAATCAGATGATTCCTGACTTTAGAAATTGTTTATTATTTGTTAGAACGAACGGGAAGGAACTCCATTTTTGAGTCTGGTGATGCGCTCTCCGAGAAGCAGCTGATTCTGTGTCCTGTTCATCTGCCCAGACTGTTTCTTCATCTTATCCAGCAACTCTTCCCACACTTTCATCTCTGTTCCCTCTTGCTCCCTTGCCAGCAGGTTGCTTACATGCTAAATGTAAAATCAGGTTCCTTTTTGTTTATTTTTCCTTGTGGCACTTGATCATGGCCCAGCTGGATAAGGGGTGCTGGTGAAAGGCATATTGCCTCCTGATTGGGACACTCTCTTGGGAAATGGAAGTGGTGGATTCAAACCTGTCAGGACAGAGGTGCATGCAGGGTTCAGCTTTGTTATAGTGCGAACAAGAACCTTTGGAAATAGTGTTACACAAAATGTGTTTGCAGCTCCCTTCTTCGGTGATTAGAAGGGAAAGTAATTAACCAGCTTTGTGCTGTCCCGATAATTAACCAGCTTTGTGCAGAGCGAGGTGTGGTCTAAGTGCTCTTATCAGATTTGGCCCCTCTGGGGACCTAAAGAAGTGTGACAGATCCTTTGTGCTCAGGTTTTTGCCACCCATTGTTCATTAGTTTTCTCAGTCCTTTTGGTGCCAGTCCTTGGGAGGCATTTACCAACAGCTGGCAGGTCTGGCACTTTTTTGGCCAAGTGGCACTTTTTTGCCCATCACATCGCTGCTGCCAGCCCCAGAGGCTGCACACACGGACTGGACGCTATCAGCTGTAGGAGAAACTAACTAGTTTTTAAATGTTTTATAAGTGTAGACTCAGCAATTTACAGACTGGCTGAGTCCCAAGGTGAAGAGCCATTCCTTAAATAATCTTACAAGTGTCTGTTCCCTTCAGCTTCCCATTTTTAAACCTTAACCCTCGCTCCTGTAGGATAGAGAGGCGTTGGTCCCTGATGCCAGAATTTCCTTTTCTCCTACCCAAGGACTGCTTTTCGTATTAATTTCCAGTGAAGAGCTAAGCATCAGTGCCCGAACTCGTGCCAGTGGTGGATTGGCACCCTTCAGCCTTTCCGCTGTTGGGGAGCTGCAGGTGCTGGGGAGGTGGCCCTGCCCGTCCCTGCATCGCCCTGCCCCTGGGCTGGAACAGACCCACCAGGTCCCCGAGAGAAGGTGCGGGGGGACCCGCCGGGTTCTGCGGAGCGTGGGAGCCATCTGGTGCTTGAAGTGTGAAGTGAGAACCCCAGCAGCCTGCTCAGGGCCTCACTGGCGGACTCTGGCTGCCGTGGCTGCAAAGCACTGACAAGATCTGGCAATGGCGTATTTTACGCGATATCTTGTGTGTGTGCACTTGCATCTGCGATTATTTCCCTGGAAGTGTAATTCCCTATCAAAAGACATCGGTGTTCGTAATTCTGGCGGTGCAAGTTTGTCATCAGTTGTGTTTTAAGCACTTGACTGTAGCTTGTGCAGTGAGATGGACATGCCGTCACAAAGTGCCTGTGGAAAGAGGCTGGTAAAAAATATTTTTTATCTTTCCCTTAGAAAAAAAATCTGCAAATGAGTGAAAATTTTGAAAACTAATTACATGCTTTGGCAACTATAAAACGTCTTCAAATGAACAAACATTTTATCTTGGCACTGCAAGACACATAGCAGATCTGTAAGTAATTAAAATAAATTAGAGGACAGGAAGTTCTGTGGAGACAGTGGCTTTCTAAATTTTAGAAAACATGAGAGAGTCGCTACCGAAAAAGGAATATTTTGTCTGAGCACTTGCTGTTCTCTGCTCACCCATCTGCACTACCATGGTTATGACCACCATTACAGATTAAATTGCATGTGCTCAAGAGAGCTAATAATTATGCTGATGTATTATAAAGACCAGTTTATTAAGATTTGCTGTAAATTTAGACCTACAGAAAAAGGACCTTGGAAAAAATCTCAACAGTAGATCAGTGTAGAGTTCAGACACTGACCCCTAAGTGAGGTGTAAGTCCAGAGAATGAATAATGAAAAGGAAAAAAAAAGTCAGATCGCTGAACTGATGAGGAGTGTAAGACACGTCGCACTGAGATGTGCGTAAAATATTGTGTGATCATACGTGATCATCTCGTAACGTAAAACATACAGAGTGGCGCTGTGTGGACATCCTTCGCTCTGGCGCTTCCAGCCATCTCTGTACCTGCAAAGAATCAGCAAAAGAACAGCCTGGTACGGAAGATGCAGAGCAGAGCCAGCCGTGAATGAGAATTGCCTTAAATAAAGATAAGGCGAATGACTCTCGCAGGTTTGACTGAAGCTCCTGGAGTCAGGCTCGAGGTAAGGTTAAGCCCGCTTGCTCAGGCACAGAGAGCGGCAGAGCTGTGGCAGAACAGGCGAGAATTAACTGCTCAAACACCATCCAGCTTTTTGCAGAGCTTTCACAGCAGAGAGCGGCACCGCGAGCCCACCAGAGCTGCCAACCTTCATCTTGAGATCAGAAACCAGCGTGAATCCCCAATTTCAGGTCAGGTTGCATAACTAGGGCAAATCCTGTAATCCCCCAACAGTGGAACATTTGGAACTTTATCGCGTTGTTTATTCCTGGAAGAATTTCTTTGCCTGAAGAGTAAACTGCTGATACTTGCAATAGGAAAAACGAAACAAGTCGAATATCTGTTGTGCCAACAGAGCATGAAGAAACACGATTTCATTTTCTGAGAGGGATTGGAGAACAAGAATTCACAAGAAAGAACTTGCTCCAGAGATGGGTAACTGCTAACTTCTCACCATATTTAATTAGTGTGGTGACAGCACAAAGAATTTAACCTACCATTTTCTTCCTACTCGCAGCTTGGCTGCCAGAGAATGAAGCTGCAGACTTGCTTCTTTCTACACTTGCGTGTGCATAGATGTTACAAGTGCAGGGTGGTTGCACAACAATGATGAAATATTTTACCATTCCAAGGCGTTGTGTGGCCAGCTGTTTTGACATGCAATAGCAATTACCTTAGCATCTGTGTTTAGGAAAGGTGGATCTGTCCTAATAAGCAGCGTAACAATTGAGCTCAGCTTATTTTTCTTTCCTTTGCGTTTTGGATATTCGCAGAAATTGCGTTGGCAGCTTCCATGTAGTTCACACGCTTTCTCTCCAGGTTCTGAGTAAACAGGTTGATTATTTATCCGTTTATGAAAAGGCAAAAAACCACTGTGTCTCTGTCTTCACTGAACACAACCAAACCCTTCTGAGAAAGGAGCTTTGTAGAACACAGTTTAGAGGACACCTGGTGATGTTTGTGCGGTTCTCCCTCACTGCATGGCCAGTGGACACTTAGAGGTGGCCGTCTCACAGAGCTCCCAGTTCTGTCCCTCCCTTCTGTGTCAGCCGTTCCCCTCTAACATCAGGTTTGTAAGTACACCCAGTTCCCTCCCGGAGATTTGTACAGACAAATCCTAAGCTACTGGAGGCCGATACACATGGTCTGACAAGGATTAGTGCTCATCGCAGAAGTACGGAAAGTACCTTCAGTCTTCAGGGGTGTTGGGGGAGCTTTTTATCTGTGCCCCCCAGTTGATTTTCATGTGTTATGTGGCTATTGCGTGTGCACGTTGCAGATTACTCATGGCCTGATTTAAAATGTTTTTGGCTTTGGTGAGTTTTTATGCTGTGACATAAGAAGAGAACAATAATTCTTGCAACATAAGAAGAGAACAGCAAAACAAGCACACTGTTTAATGGGTTAAAAAACAAAAAGGTGAAAAATACCTCATGTTCCCAAGTAATAGCAATTGAAAATCAGGAGTCAGGATGCTCATCTGAACGTGTTATTTCTTGCCTAGATTCTTAGGTACAAGTAACTAGTAAACAGTTAATTCAAATGCACTCTGCACACCAGTTCACCGGCCTCAGAAAAACATTTTAGTAGCCTTTTATGAAGTTTACAATGTGGTTCACCATTTTACTTGACGATGGAAAAGAGAAGATCCCATAACCAAAAAACCCCAGTGCACAGTGGAAGCCGCCTTCCATGTGGTGCCAGGTCACTTGGACACCGTTGTCCTGCAGCCGTTTCTTGTACAGCAGCGCATCATCTCTGAGCACATCGTGCTCACACGTGATTATGCAGGTGTCGGGTAGGTGGGAAACCACAGCGTCCTCTGCTAACAGTGGGGAAACTCTGATGTGAAACAGTTCTTTTGTTTCTTCATGGACTTGAGGGGAAAAGGAAGCGGGTAATGGCGGTTTGTAGCCCAGCTTAAATCTGTCTGGGATAAGATCTGCATTTATCCATTTCCTGTATTTCAAATGTATACTCTCCGGAACATGAGAGCCTGCCAGAATGGCTTCCTTCATAGAGCAGTCCTTATTCAAGTACTTCAGAAGAAAATAGGCCGTTCGTTCCCGGGACAAGAAGGGGATGAAAGCGTTTTTCTGGTGAGATGGCAGATTGAAGTTCAGTGCTTGGAGAAATGGGTAGATCAGTACCTGGGCACGGATCTTCGGGATATCTCTTCTATTTCCCAGTTCTTGGCAAACAGCAGCAGTGAAGGTGCCCCCTATACTGTCCCCACAAACGATAACCCGCTCGGGATCCACCCCGTGGTTTTGAGCAGTCTTCAGAAGGCTTTCGGTGGCAGTGAGGCAGTCCAGAGTCTGGGCTGGGTACTCGCTCTCGGGTGACAAACGGTACCTGCAGCGGACAAAAGACAGCCCTTGCACAAAGGTGTCAATCTGCAAATTTCCTGAAAGTGTCAGCTTCGTTGTGTCCCGTGCTTTTCCAAAAACTCACCCAAACCAGGGTTACTGACTGCAGGGTTTGCATGCTGAAGCAAACCAGCACAGCTTCCCTTCCTGGCGCTGTCCAAGTACAGAGACCGTTGATCGCTGAGGTTTGTTCCAGCCTCCTCTAAGAGCAGGAGGGCCTGAGCAGCGCGGTCCCATCGCCCGCATTACACCGAGCACAGGGGTGCTCGGTTGCCGCT